ACAAATATTATCTGAAGAGAGATTAGAATGCCCCCTTTTCACCTTTGCAAGCACTCAGTTTTTTCAACTGTCAACATTATTTTATGATATGAAAGTTAGGGTCTCTGAGAAGGAATTCCAAGCCTGATTACCGCAACATACAGTGCACCGACATACAAGTACGTCTTTCACGTTACTAAAAAGTAACTGGCTTGCAAAAGTGTGCTCCCCATTCTCTCGCTTGCACCCCATTTTGTCAGACTGTACACTCTTCATTCCTGTAAACTTAACACATTTCCTTAGTGCAATAATGCCCACTCCCCACACTTAGATTAAATGGATAAGATGCCCATAATGCCTTCTGGAGACTCTACACCGTCCCCAACTCTGACCACTTTCCCAAACTCACAAAGTTGACAGCAGCTTAACAGAACCCCTGCAATGGATTAATTGAAAAAGGTAGTCATAGACATAGAGGTATTATACCGACAGGATTAATGTTACTGACAACAAATGATTTATAAACCTCAGTGCAGATTTGTTTCTTGAGATTCTCGTTCACTTCTCTTTGTAAAAAAACTGTTTCTCGTCTGTTGCTTAGAACAGAGATCTCCAAAATCTTAGCTGTACTAACAATCATTATCAATATGGTCGCCTCCACCTTAGTCAACAATGTCAACAAACTTACATTGGGAATGAGAGTAACACGTTTATAATATACTGTAATATTGAAAACCTAATGGCAAAAGGCCTGTATACCTCTATAGTCAAGACATTTCTATCCATGACAGATAAAAACAATTTGTGATTATTAATTTGATAAGCCTGTGGGGGGATAACATTTCTGGGAGAACACTGGATTTGGGCACTATAAGGAATCAGATAAAAAAACAGAGTAAGTAAAATTAACTAATCTAACTTAAATACAGGTTTTGGCTTGTTTAAGAAAGTAAAGCTATCAATGTCCCCCCGCAAACAAGCATTAATTAAAAAATGTGTGAGAAATCAATCTATATTATACAGGCAAACTGGCTTTAACAAATTTAATTTGTGAACACGAACATTTTGAAGACAGAAAAAGATTAACCTATTTATGTTCTTAAGCAGCTTCCTGGACCTGTTCATTCAGTTCTCTGTGGATTTTATAGATCAAGTCAGGCAAAAACAAAAGTCAGCAAAAATAAGTTTACACCCAAAAGCATTGTTCTGTTAAACTGCTTGTCTCAGAGACAGAAAGAGAAGGTGCTTAGTCCCCAGTATTACAATACGCTATCCCGGCCAAAAGACTGGAGACTTTCTGTGCAAAACAAAGAACAACTCTGGTGTATTTGAAATTCCATGAACACCTCTCCCTGGGTTCAGAAGCTTAAAAAAGGCCCAATCAAGGCCTTAACTTAAACAGCCTCTTCATGTAGTCAGGTGTCTTGGACTCTCCCAAACTGTGTACAATATGACACCATCATAAAACCTGTCCCAAATTACAACACTGCAGGATTCTGCAACAAAATCCTAATTTAATCCCAGTCCTAACAAGGAGCCTAATAGGAGCAGGACATGGCTTTGAATGGTAATACAAAAGCAAGTGTGATGGAGGGCACTGCTCTTCAGAACATGCTGCACTTTAACAGTCAACAAGATCCACAAAGCTGGGTTTTGGGAAAAATTCCAGACTGGTGGTGCCAACATGACATGATTTTAACCTCTTCACTATTGCCGATGCATGGAGCGGTCTTTTTTTCTAGTGCAAATGCAAAATGTCAGCAGGATTTGTTGTGTTTTTTTTAAATCCAGTACAAAAAAACATTGGGGGAGGCATTAGCTACTGTGCATTTCAGTAGCACTGCGCCCCAACCCTGAGGGGTCTGCTCAGCAAAGTCAAAGGAAGAAGGACCTCAGGACCACTCCTCTCTCCTCCACCCGTCACTAAGAAAGTGCTTCTTTCCTCCCACCCCTTCTGTGATTTTTACAAAAAAAAAAACTTTGCAATGTAAAATGTTACATCTTCAGGCAACTGCAGCGGCTTTTGCAAATTAGTGGCTTTTAATTGTTTATGCATTATTGTTTTGCATGCAAGCAGCTTGTGGCTGTGTAGGAGTGTGTTTGTCTGAATGTTGTGTGTATTGGTAGCTCCGCAACTACCATGGGGCACAGCGTGTAACATCTATTAAACACTCATACAGGCACAGGTATTAAGAGACAGACTGGGTCTGAATTGGATCAAACATTTTAAAATATATTAAAAATGATCTCCTTTTTTTGTAGATGTGTTTTTCAAGCCGGCTTTAATAAAAATACAAAGATAAAATCCCTTTGGTTGATTAAAATGGCTTGTTGCACATTCAAGAACAGAAGAATGTCCAAGTAGTATAGCTGGCTTTGTCTTACTCTGTAAGCATATGAATAAATTACTGTTTTCATAAATGTAGAAATCTAGTGTTTTAAAATATGAGAAGGGATGATGAGAGGGAGCTACTTGGTGCTTTGAATTGCCCTGAAAGAAAAAAATTCTCGTAGAAAGTTCTGAAGACAGAAGAAATGAGAAGACGCACATCTATACTGTATACATATACAGTATGTGTGTGTTTGGAAGTGAGGGTATTGAAAAAGAAACTTCACTGATCTATGTACAGTGATGTGAAAAAGAACATACACCCTCTTAAGATTCTATGGTTTACATATTAAGTCATATTTGACCTGCACCTGGTCCTCACTAAGTCCTAAACAGTAGATAAATCTGATCTCATGTGACAAATGACATGAAAATTTTACTTTGTCATTATTTATTTAACCCCCCAAAAATCAGCCAACATTCAGAAGCGTTGTGTGAAAATGTTAATGTACCCTTACTGCTTCCATATCAGTTAAGAAGGTAATTCAAATCTGGTAAAGTGCATGTAGTTAGTTGTTCATCAGAAAGCGCTTCTACCTGTATATAAAATAAAACACTTTGTCAGTCTGGTCATTAAGGTTTGTGGTAATGCATCATGCCTAGGTCAAAAGATATCTGTGACGGTCTCAGAGAAAGAATCGTTGCTGCTCATAACTTGGAAGAGTTATAAAGCCGTTTCAAAACAATATGAAGTCCCATCATTCTGCAGTGAGAAAGATAATTTACGAATGAAGAAAGTCAAGATGGTTGCCTAGGATCTACCCAGGAGTGGGCGTCCCAGCAAATTCACCCCACAATCAGACCGTATGATGCTTCTAGAGATTGCAAAGAACCCCAAAGCTACATCCAGGGATCTACAGGCCTCTGTCAATACGGTAAACATTAGACCTGATGATTCTACCATTAGGAAAAGACTGAACAAGAACAGCTTTTGTGAAGGGGTAGATAGAAGAAATACCCTGGTCTGCGGAATTATCACTGCTGCATGGCTTAGGTTTGTAAAGCAGCACCTGAACAACCACAAGACTGAACAAGACACAAGTCCTTTGGACAGATGATATCAAAGAGATGTTTGGCCGTAATGCAAAATGACATGTTTGGTGAAAACCAAATGCTGTGTATCACCACAAGAACCTCATACCAACCATCAGGCATGGAGGTGGAGGGGTGATGATTTGGGACTGCTTTGCAGCCGCAGGACCTGGCCGGCCCACAATTATTGAGTCCACCATGAATTAATCTCTCTACCAGCACATTCTATAGGAAAATGTGAGACCATCTGCCCAACAGCTAAAGATTCCCAATAGAGGATCATGCAACAGTACAATAATCCAAAAAAATCCACTAAATCTACGACTGAGTAGCTGAAAAAGAAAAGAATCAGGAGTCTAGACCTCAACGCCAATGGGATGCTGTGGTAGAACCTAAAGAGAACTGTGCATAAACAAATGCTCTCAAACATCACCAAGCAGTTTGGTAAGGAGAAGTGGGCCAGAATTCCTCCCAGGTGATGTAAGAGACAGATCAACTCTTACAGGAAATGTTTACTTCAACTTATTGCTGCTAAGGGGGTTTCATAGCGAAACACGGGGTGCACTGACTTTTTCACACAAGGCTACTGAATGTTGGCCGAGTTTTTTGATGAATAAATAATGACAACTTTTAAGAAGTACAAACTGGTTCTGGTCTGATTGGGGTTTAGTACAGTGGTAATGAAGACAACATTGGCAAATTTTTAATGCTTACTATGAAACCATTCATTTCACAGTAGTTTCATAGTCATTTTATCTTAACAGTATTGCATTGTTATATGTACACTTGAAGTTATGTGACCATATTGGAATTGGAACCATAGCAGGGTGTAGTTCCATTTGTGAGAGAAGGATTATGAATTTGAATACTTAGAAATTTAGATTATATTGCTTTTTGCAACATTAATTTAATGTGTCATCTTTTTGGTACTGAATATAATAATATTGTACCATGGACGGTGAAGGAATCATTCTTAATTCCTTGTTGTCTGATACGTCTTTTATATCTTAAACACTCGTGTCTTGTAACTTTCCACTCCATCAGTTGTAAAAGTATGTAGTTCTGCTTTTGTCTATGCTGAACTGTCACATACAGTATGGTATGTTGCAAGGCATAACTGCCATATGTTCCTGGCGGAGTTACAAAAACAGTGAGGAACTTGCTTGACTCTTTCCTCATGTGCACAGCACAGCAGGACATATATAATCCTTCCATTATGGGAGTAACTGTTTAACTTGTTTACTGTATAAAAAGACCACCCTGTGTAATACTCTTTGGGTCTTGCTTGACAAAGCCTGATTCCCATATGCATATGCAATAAAGGCATTTTCTGCTGCATGAACACCAGAGTTGCTGCCTTTTACCTGCTACTACAACGGATAATAGTCAGGTATGATCAATCAAAACATCCAAGTAAACAAATGAAGAAACTCTATCATACCTTTCAACGCTGGTATTAAAAATTCATGTTTTGCAATAGTTAAGAAAACTAGGCATGTATTAGTGGACAAGCGCCTCATTCTTAAGATTTCAGGGATTTTTTAATAACTTTAGTTAGAAAAACAATTTTATATATCTATCTAAATTAATGAAAAACAATTTTGATAATGCAAAGACTGTTTTTTTTTAATCAAATATGTGGGAAAAAAGGAAAATGCTAACTACTGTGACTAGCAGATTAGTGCCTCTTGAACAAACTGTGCCTGTTTGCCCCTCAGAGTCCATGAATCTGACGACTGTGTCCCTGCAGCTCTGGTGGACCAGTATACGGGAGCTTTAGGATTCTGTCTATGACTGTAATGCTCTGTGAAGCACTACTGTATATGTGCGAATGTGTGTTTGGGTCTGTGTGTTGAGAGTGGCATTTTGTACAGGGAGTTTCCCTTTCAAGGGGACGGGGAGTCAGTGGGGGCACTTACTGCCCATTTATCCGCAACTCTTCCCCATACTCCTCTGCCTGCTGTCCTTCTGTAGTTGGGGGCTGACAGCTGCTGTTGTCACCCCCCTCCCCAGGAACGAGAGGAGTTGGCCCACTAGGCCCATCTGAACTTTGTAGTGGGGCTTCCTCTTCCTCCTCCTCCTCTACCTCCTCTTCTCCTTGGCCACCTCCTGTTTCAGATTCCGGCACCTCTCCCCCACCTGGACTACCTCCTAGCTGGAGGTGAGTTCTGAGCGTCTCTTTGCGCTCAGTGTAGATGCGTTGCTCAAAAGTGAGGGCAGTGGGAGTGAGAGGTTTGAAATCGGTGTCGAAGGGCAGCGTCACCCCTGCCGCCTGGCCTGGTATCCCCCTGTACACCTCGACCCCATCTGGCAACATGGATTTGATCTTGGGCAGCCAGCGTTTTCTCACACGCCGAGCGTTGGTGCACATGTCGGCGGCAATCACGTTCATCTCACTCTCCTTGAAGTTCGGCGCAAAGTTCTGACAGTACACTGGGGAGGAAAAACACAGACAAGAGATGTTTGCCATTAATTCATTCTTCAGAGGACATACTTGTTGCAATTACACTTTTTATTTATTGAGACTACCAAAAACAATCTCTCGAACATCCAATTCTGTGATGGACCTTGTAGGACGTGACTAGTGTATGATCCCATTTAGTTTTTAAAGAGTTCACATCTGTGCATCTGAGGTTGTTTAAATGAAGGATGGCAACATCTAACATTTAGAAAACTGCACATTTAGCATCTGTAATGGTGTACTTTATACTGTAATTCATAGTATATTCATTACAGGATGTTCTCTAATAAATGCATACAAAAGACCAAATAAGAGGGCGTCCTGTGGCTCATCTCGCTCAAGTAGTAGTTTATTAACTAAGAGAATCTAAAGGTTTGTCAGGTTGTTTCTTATAGGTGCCCACAGTTTGAACCTCAGCCACTTGGTTGGGAAAATCAGATTCGCTACCCTTTAAGTAAAGAACTGATTCCTATTCTCTGAATTATCCTTAAATTTGCTATTGTGACTCAATATTTGAAGTATTTTTTTCAGCTGTGCCTGCAGTTCTATAGACTCTGAGTCATGGAACCTTTTGTGCATTCTGCGGAATACTTTCTTCCTTCTGATTTCTTTCTTAATATGTCCATTAAACCATTCAGACCATATTTTCTTGGACTTAAGACTTCACGTTTGAGAAATTCATTTGTTTTTAGGCATTAACTGTTATGCTGCTGCTGCTGTCGGACAGAGCTGCAGTGTGTGATGATTGGCTGAAGCCCAAATGTAGATCGCAGGACACTTCTTCATGTTTTCCTGGAGAGGCCAGAGAGTGGCTGTGAGGGTGTTACAGGAGAGAGATAGTGAAGGCACGGGAATAGTGAGGCTTAAAACGCTCCGGAAGCTGAATAGGGAAGACCCATCGGATTGAGGCAAGGCTTGCAGCTGAAAAAAAATGGAGAGTAGCTGGTGAGCCGAAACCTCGGAAAATACAGCCGCTGAAAAAGCAGATTGGCTAGCTAAGGATGGTTAAATGTGCTGGCAGAGACTGGGAAAAAGTGAAACTGCTGAGTCAATGCTCATGAAGAATTGGTTGGAGAGTTATTCAGCAAAACAGCGAGCAAAGAGTGAAGTGTATGTTTGCACTGATGGGTCGCAGCTTAATGTTGGAGCAATGACACACCGGAGTACGTTTCCTCGAACAGCCAGCATATTAAGTAGATTGGGATCTTCATTCAAACATCCTTCTTCTACATACTCAGTAACGACATCTTGCCTAGTTGGTGATTTAAGAAGCAATCATTAACCGTTCCAATTATTTCCATCATCATGTATCAAAATTCTGTGAAAAGTTGAAATCTCCTAGTGAAGTTTGCTACAAACCTTCCCGATCTCATCAAACAGTAAACTACTTGTGCCTGTATCTGTGTTAGGTGGTCTGTAGATTCTAAAGTGCCCATATCTTTTTGCTTCACATCTCTAGCTTCCAGGTTATTTTTTATATGTAGCCCCACACCACCACCTCTTCAGTCCTGTCTGTCTTTTTGAAAATAGTCTGGACCCACTAATTTTATGTTTGTCCTCCTCATCTTCACTTAACCATGTTTCATTCGCTCCTATAATGTCATAGTTCCCAATTAGTGAAGTAATCTTATGTTCTTGCAGCCTTGAGGTATAATATAAGCATTTAAGAATGGATGAGCTTTGTTTTAAATTTGTTCTTGGTATTGCCTGTGGCTTTTCATCATTCCAGAACTGGTCTGTTTTAACCACCCTGTCCCCCAAGTTTGCGAGTTTAAATATTCCTCTACTAGGAATGCACTCTTTTTCTGTAACAATCTTTAAGAAACAGAAAGGTCTGTGGTAGTCAACGCTGTGCAGTGTATATGCTCTTCCCTGTGGCTGCCATCTACAGATGCAGCCATTCAGAACTCACAAGGTGCCACAAAAACATATTGCGGTATGCCGAAAGATACTGCCCAATGCCCTTTTTATCTCTTCAAATAATCTGATGCATGATTGCACTACTCAGTAAACCTGCCAGGTGGCGCAGTGAATCCTTTATGTACTGTGTGTCAGCATGTGTCTATCACATACTGTCAATCTTATTTTAATAATAAAAGTTAAATGTGAGTTAGCCCATTAGTGCTTTTTCTGTGCTAATAATACTTTACAGTTACAACAACAGAATTCATCCTTTTTCAATTACATAAAGTATAGAGAATTATTTTTTAATTGTGTATAGATTGCTACAATTTATTATACATAGTAGCTGTAAACAAATATAACATTTAAAAGCAAATAAAGACGTAAAAAAGAGGTTAGTCATGACTTGATTGACTTTTAAAGAATGACTTATGGTTGTTTCTGGTCGTGTTGCAGATCGATGTCTACACTATATTGTTACAGCTAACTAGGGGGTGTCTCTAAGAATCTAGATAAAGTGTGTAACAGGCAGTGTAAATATTTCCAGCTATAAAGCAAAGGGGATATTTGCTGAGATGGAGAGAGTCCAGATTCAGTGATCAATTGTAAAGATTACCTTGGTTTACCTGAGTTAATTAAGTCCTGGCTAAAGGATTAAGTGTCAATCAACAGTCTAAAAAGATACATATACTGTGTAAGAAAATGAAGAAGTAAAGGTGAATGCTGCATATTGGTGGTGGTGGAGGGGAGTCCCCATTACCTGTAAAGCACTTTGAGTGTCCAGAAAAGCGCTACATAAGTGTAAGCAATTATTAATTATTATTATTATAAAGAGAACAGGAGCACACAGAACATAAAGCATGTGCCAGGAGCACACAGAACATAAAGCATGTGCCAGGAGCACACAGAACATAAAGCATGTGCCAGGCGAGCGAACTTCTAATTCCATAAAGACCAGTTGAGCTACAGTAAGTATTTGAACCTTGCCAAGAGAGCTTACATTCTGCATTTTTAGGGAACTTGAATTTTCTGAGTGAAGAATCCATCAGTTAAAACTAGCCTATACTAGTCAATGGGTGCATTTTAGAATCGGGAGATAGGTTCCCATTTATTTTGTGGCATCCTTGGTTTGCAGAGAGAGATTTTACCCCAGGTTGTTTTCTACTTAGTTCAAAAGGAAGCTTTACCTTATACTCCCCTTTGTAGCATTAAGAGTTGAATATGTGAAAATTTAATTGTACTGTGCATAGGGTAACTTGTATGTTGCATGATTATGTTGTGTGTAGTGTAGTGTGTGTCACTGTCATCTCTTATAATGTTACAGTAATAATGTTAATAATGTTTTTCTTTAAGGAAACCACAGTTTTGCCAAAACAATGCTGCAGTTGTTTAATTGTGTATAGATCAGTACTCCTGACCTGTAAATACCTCTGGAAACCCTCCTATGTTTTAAAAAATATTTTAGGGAATACACTTTTAAAAAAGGGGTCCCATGTCAATTTCTCCTGCAGAGAAATTCTCACAACAGAGAACTAGCGAAGTGCTAGCACTGAGCGAGATTTGCTGGACATCACCACAGCCAGGCAGTACAGCAGGGACTACTGACATAGATGCAAGGAAGTTGTAAAGGGGGTTTTGTGGGAATCTTAAACTAATACAGCATCTGTGAGCGATCAGACTGTTCCAATACCCAGCCCCACTCTGACTCCTATTAATCCATAGGCCCTAGCAGGCAAAATGAACTAGCTGCTACTTCCTGCTAAGGGGAAATATTAAGTGTAAATAATTACATCTAGAGAAAGGCAGTCTGCAAGAACGGATGTAATACTTGACGTATGGATATCTGTGGATATTACTTTATGGAATTCTTTAACTTGGTAATTTTCCTTCCTCATTTTAACATGACGTAGCTCGATTTAAATGAAACTGTATCATGTTGTAAATAGTAACACTATAGTATGTGTGTGGGGTATCAAAAATGTAGTTTATGAGTCAATGCATTTGGCTCACATGCCTAATATAAAACTACATTGTTTGCTTGGTGAGGCATACACTTCCTAATCCTTTAAAAAATTTAATTATTTTAGAAATGCAAAATTAATAAATGCCACTCACCTCACAAAATCCAAAAGTATTGTAAATATTTATGTTTTGTCTTTGTCCCCTCGTGTCCTAGCTAGGAGTCAAAATATATAATAAGGCCTTAGTGGGACCTGCAAAGAAAGATTAGCATGTCTCTGTGAAGCACTATGGAATGATTTGTTGAAATTCAGAGAACAGATGTCCTTGTAGCTACAGTAGCTCCTACAAAAAGCCAAAGGTGTAGTGCAATTGAGAAAGAAAATGTCCTATAGAGTAGTTTATGAAGTCCTAAGCAGGTGATAAGAAGTCCTCATTGGGGAAAAAAGACCTACGTATGAGTTTTTAATTTTTTTATTTTTTTCCTCATGGCACCTGGATGCTATTGTACAGAGCTGACAATCCTGGTTCAAGAATGTTTAAGTTAAAGCATGTTAATGCTGCACTGCTCTTCAAGTTTAATCTTTGTAAATCTGCAAATGTATATTGGTGCTGAAGAACATGATGGTCAGGTAAAGTACTGTATTACTACAGCCTGACCTGGCTCTCTGAACTTCTCATGATCATCAAAAGGGGTAAGTAGAGGGAGGAGGGATACACATTGTTTCATAACATCACTTATCTTAAATGTTTGTAGTTTATTGTGTTATAAATACCACTTTCTTATTTTAGATAAAAATATCTTATACATACTGGTTATAATGATTAGTATTTTAAAGAAAATATGAATGTAAAAAGACCTCAACTGTGATTTCTGTTTAAGGGTATCTTTAAATTCTCATATTCTCCCTGAACAATCTGGAGAGCAATCTTGTTGGTCTGACTGGTAGAACTGGGTCATTGACAGTATTCAGGTTTTGCCAACTCATTCATAATCTTCATTTAGTATTATTATTATTTTAATATTTAACATACTGTGATTTATAAAAATAATAAAAATGTCAATTTAGTATACATGCTATATAATATATTATTATTAGAGAAATAGTCTTTCGTCTGTTATTGCAACTTGTGCATAGGCCAGGAATGCAGCCCAGACCTTCCAGGTGGCAGACAAGAATTCTACCACTGAACTAATGCATCACTCTCCCTGGACAACCTAAATTAAAAATGATTATTATCCATTACAACAATAACAACAGCAAGTGTTCATGGAAAAAGTTAAAATTTTATATCATTTTATAAAGTATATAAACATTATAGAGTTAAAAAAAGCATGTCAAAACCTTTCCACAATAACTGAAGCAAGTGACTGAGATAAAAATTTTGTTGCAGGAAATGTTAATGAAGAAGGTGGAATACTATTGTGTACCTTATTTTTTATTTTTTGTTACCACTGTCACTACCAGCTATATTTATATATTACAGTTATATTATGATTTTATTAAACACAAAACTAAAATACATAGCAAATAATAAAAAGGTTCACATTGTTTTAACAAAAAAGCATGAGATAATATGTAAATGTTGACACGTGTGAATGAAGGCTGAATTTAAGGCAAGCATTTTATCTTTTCTGGAATCTGGTCACAGAATACAGGATGCCCAGGCTGAAACATTATGTGTGAAAAATGCTGTCACGATTTGCCAGTATACGTATACCCGTGAGCCTGTATCTTTCAACAATGAATACTGCAAACAAATTGGACTGCCTTACTAGGACTGTGATTACAAATTACAAATACAGCACATGGAGCAACATGAATACTTAAGGTCAAACAGTTTTAAAGCATGTTTGAAATTGTCTGAAATTCTCAACCACTTCACCCAGTGGTGAAGGCTATCTGCAAAGATTAGAGACAGTCTAGCAACCTCTAGTAATTTTGTAAACTGGCCAGCTACAGTACATCTTGTTTAGGAACAGGTCTTACTACAGTCTCACCTTAAAATGTAAGAGAGGGTACAAAGGACAAGAAACCACATTGTAAGTATTGCATATGAAATAACTGTTCAATAACTGTTCAAACTGTTCAACTGTCCAAAGTTGCTCATTTTACCTACAATATCACTTTGACTTTGAAAACTGACAAAACTGGGGTGCTTGAAAACGGATCCTTGATAAAGTCATCTAAAAGGAGTGTGGAGCATGTTGCATCACTTTGTTGAAACAAAAAAAGAGGTCATTCATAAAACACGTAAAATGTCAGCAACTAGAAAAAACTGATAGGTCCAGATGGCTAAAATTAAATCATATTGCTCACACTTGCAGATTTGCCCCCATAAACTGAAAACATGAAAAAAGAAATAGAAAAACTTGTTGGCAACATTATTTCCAGCACAGCTGAGTTTTTTTTTGCTATTAACAATGACAAGATTTAAAAGAATCAGAAGAGGTCAGGGAGTGTAGGCCTATGTTATGTACCTTTTAGAATGGGTTGCACATTCTGCTCATAACCAACTATATTGACTGAAGCTGTTTTTCAGTTGGATGCACATATAGCAATCACCTAACATTACCCATTCAAATGAAATGTGCCCATTTAAGCATTTAGGAATGCACTCAGATAGCCTAGAGCAGAGATTCTCAATCCTGGTTCTGAAGGTCCGCACATGTGCTGGTTCGCTGAGCTTAATGATCAAATTATCTGAACTTACACTTTACTTGACTGGAACATGGACATGTTTTTTTTTTCCTCACTCACAATTTAAAATTGAATTTTGCTTAAGATAAAAAGTAAACTCTAACATGTTTAAGAGCTGAAAATAGCTTAAAATAATCCTTTATTAAGTCAATTAATGGTTAAATTGTGTGAATGATAGCTTGGCTGGAACAAAAACACAGAAGGTGTGTGAGCGTCCTCAACAGGATTGGGAACCCCAGATCTGTACATCACATGTGCGCAACATTGGAAATTGAGCCGCATTATATCACACCTACAATCACATTTGTACTAATAGGCTACTGCAATATGAGTTCTGAGTAAACATTTAGTCATTCAGACATCTCTAATAGTCACCCATGCCTGTGTTTACTCATAACTGTCTGGCAAGGCAATCATATTTTGTGTAAATGGAAAAAAAAAGAAAATAAAACTTTAAATGTATTACACAAGCATCTACAATTACTAAACAATATACATAAAAATGCATTATCATTCGCCTTCACTGTTACTATGCTGGAAAAGCCATAAAAGATCTACAATAACATGATGTATCAAAATAAATAAAGAAAACATTTAGAAAACATCCTTTCGCATCCAGAAGAAACAGAGAATCTCCTCTTTTAATATAAAAGCCATTGACGTTTGCATCATTTCAATATTCAAATGCATAATCATGAACTACTTCAACTGTGGAGGAGAATGACTCGCAACTTAAGGGTTGTAACTGACTTCAACTGTACGGTGACTCTCTGAAGAAAACACAATTTTGTGTCCTTGGAGAAAGCCTTCACCGCCTAGGAAAACACAGTCTTGAGTATCTGTTTCTCTGGAGCGGTTTGTGAAACTCACGTTTGACGGCATTGAGCACGCGGCTGTCCAGGGGTTTGCGGCTGGGATCACTAGTGGATGAGCGGATTCCTGTCCCGCAGCTGTTGGCCAGGGTGTTCCTACAAGGAGAAATACCACAATCACATACCGGGGACTGCACGGCCCGTATAGCCTCCAGGTTAGTGAGCTGAAGGCTGAACGCATCCTTCACAAGAGTATAAAGAAAGAGTACAACATGCTTTAAGGGTGAAGCCTTATTCAAGTGAAGAGAGGGAGACAGATATGATTGAAATGAGGTGAGATTAGGTAGAAAGAGGTTAAAGAATAGGATATTTCTAGATACAGGATATCTAGGTGGCTATCTGGGACACAAATTACACAGGAAGGCGTGAATGGCAGGAATCGCTCTAAGAAAGCTCTTTGATCCTGAAAGAAACTTGACAGCCCACAATTCTACTTCTCCAGATCACGATCACAGCACCTCTTTGTGTTCTTTGGCAGGAATTCAAAGGCACGCCAGAATGACATCGCAACGCAAAATACAACACAGGGTTTTTCGAGTATTTAAATGAGTGCTAATCGCATTTTCATAGAATTTTACACGTACCCCTGTAATTTTTACCTGAATCACCTGCCTGCTCCTGTCCACCTCTTCTCTTGTGTTGGCCTACCTATTACTCCTCCCTATTTCTGCTCCATGAGTGAAACATTGTATTGAACTCTTTCGAATGTGCAGAATTAACCTTTACTCCTCAGAATGAAATTATTAAATCAGAATATTGATAACTATAATGAAAATAAATTGCGGTATTATTCCATGTCCCTATTTTTTTTTAACATTTCCTATAAATCAGTGGTTTCCAACGGTGTGTCTTCTGACTGCTCCAGCCTAATTCTTTATCTCAGGCTAACCGAATTCAGCTACACGACTTGTGCCATATTTGTGCATTTCCTTTCAAATCTTACCACATCAAATAGGATTTGTCATTGGTATCACCCTGTACCAATTTCTGAGTTTGAGAACTACTCTCATTCAGGTGCGCTGTCTGAAACGTAACCCCCTGAGCCTCTGTAAAGGGCACACTGTTGGAGTGTGATACTGTGTAATTCCCACCCGCATCTGTTCATCATCACTTGCTCAACTAGTAAGAGCCATTTAGTCAGAGATAACGACAAGCACCACGAGGACAAGCTGAGTGAAGTGTGCTGAACACAGTACCCTTGAATTTAAGTATTCGACACTCAAGACTGACAAGACTGACTCAATTAATCAATTAAAAAACAAGCAAGTGGATCAGTTAAGACCTCCATTAGGAGATTAAGAGCTGAATTCTGAATTGCTCACACAGTATTCCGAAATTCTTTTTTTTGCCTTTTAGACTTTTGCTTTCTCTTCTTAAATGAGGCTAATGCATTAAACTTTGAAAAACAAACTGTTCCTTTACTGACCAATATCCTTTTATAATAAAAGTATTTGGAGGTTATTCTCCACTTCCCTACTTCATGTCTGAGCTCGAAGGATCCACTGACCTGTCAAAGAATGTTGCCAGTAGACGTCGCAGCAACACTTTGTGTTTAATGCCAGCACAGAGGTGGCAGTTCATCAGCTGCCCTCGCGTGATGTACACCCCTGTGCCTGGGGGAGACAAAGAACATGACACACAGACTTCTTTATAAGCCACACATGATACAGAAAAACAAATACTGGGTAAATCAGGATTTTCTTTGGATACGTTTTTAATGCAGAAGATCCCAATTACACACATAATCAAACACCATCTAAGTAGATTTTTTATCTGCTCAATGTTTTGTATAATGTGGTTATAACTTGAATATTCCTAGTAACAGCGTGGCATACTGTCTTACCTCAACAAAGAGATAGATCTTTTTTTTCATACAAAAAGTGAGCAAGTAGGTTATTTTGGGGGACAAGTCTCAAGCAACAAAATGTCATGTTGGCCTCAAAGTTGGCTTATCTACCTCCAGAATGTCTCAAAGGTTTCCCGAGGTTGTTGGTAGTGTAGCATACTGCAGAGTGTTCTAACCACGAGATAGTAGTTAAGATGGAGTTTATTCCAAAAGCACAGTGTTCACAAAGCAAGACTGAGAACACATAACTGCTCTCCCACTTAATGGCAGTTAATTAAAAGGCCTAATTAATTAATAGAGTGGGATAATTCAGAATTACATATCAAATCTAGAATTGTATAATGTTAGCCTGCCCAGAGGGGTTGGGCAGCCTGCTGACCTTGGACCCCTAGAGGTTTTTTTTCTCTGAGGAGTTTTTGGTTCCTCTCCTCCGTTGTCTTCTGGCTTTTTCTCTTTCATCTTATGTCATGTATTGTCACACAGCTTTGTTAAGTGCCTTGGGGCAACCTTGTGGTGAAAGGCGCTATATAAAATTAAACTGAATTGAACTGAAAAGCAGGAGGTGGGAAGAAATGGGAGCACTCAAGAGAAATCCCCCACAAACACAGAGAGAACATGGAAAAACACCACACCACACACACCACACAGACAGACCCATGAGACTGGAAATGAAACACAGGAATGTTGCATTATGGTACAATGCTTTTCAGTGTTATTGAGCAGCAGTGCAAAGTATAGATTACACAAAATCATTTCCTTTATCACTAATGCCTAATTCATCGATTAAAGGGAAAAATATTCATGACTCTTTAAAAATCCTCAATTTTCCATGGCTACAGAATCCTTACATTTAACCATAGTTGGAATTGGATTAGAGTACGTGACAGCACTGCACCTGCCACCAGTTCCAGCTTCTCTCCAGGATCTCCCTCAGAGTAGAGCTTGGGATGGCACCGATACCCGATCTGACTGATTAGGCTGGCAGGGAGGGCCACCAGGTCTCTGCGGATCAGTACACAAGACCGGCTGTCCAGAGAGATGGGCATGGTAGCTGCCTCTGCCTTCTCTTGCACTGGACACAGCAGGACAGACGGACAGAGAGAGAAACCTGAGGGTAAGTCCAGTTTTCTGACAAAACGGCCCAAAAAGAAAAAAACACATCGAGACAACAAAACCCCTTCTTCTTCTTGTCTATATTTCATTCAGATACGCAAGTCTACATTTTAATGACGCTTTATAATAAGAATCAAAGCCCTGAGACTTCATGCCAACAAACAGGTGTATATTGAGGTTCACCTTCACCGGAAGTATTATGTGACAGGAACTGTGATTCAGCACACCACGAGACAGCTAACACACAGGAAAGACAAATTTAAAAAAAGAGTTAGCAGGAGACTGACACTGAAGGTAAGATAAGGTATCAGAGTCGTTTTCTTAGTGTCTGTCACCCAGTCTTCACTTGGAGCTTTCTTTCACTCAAACATAATTATGCAAGAATGGTACAAGTTGCAATTTCAGTGAAAGTCAATTCTACCTAGTCCAGGACAAATACATTCCAAGGTCCTTTTGCTTTTAATTTAAACAAACACAAACAAAAACCTTATTTTAGTCCAATAGCAATACCACCTTGACAGATACTGTAAAAGCTATAATTCATTAAATATCAGAATTGGTAGTCTTGACTCAACTTACTCAGGACAAAATACTTTAGGCACAGGAATGTAAAAGCTAAGATACTTGTTCTGAGAGCTGCCATGAATGTACTCTCCAGTAGAATGACAACAAAGTAGGCAGTGCTCAGTTTTATCCAGGAGAAGCCACCTGTGCTATTATCAGCTGTTCCCATATTAAGTGGGACTCTTAAGATGAGGAAGTCATTCATGTAGGAGATAGAGCTTCAGGGTTTTAAAGAGCTTTCGCAGTTTAGCTGGGTAGCTCATAAAGCTGCAGTAAAGTGATTTAGACATACAAGAATAAAATAGTCCTGATTTAAAACCTTCTTTCAATGTTCTTCAAACCTTCTGTTTTAAGAACATTACTCTATAGTTTATGTTAACACAAATGTATATTATTATAAAATTATGAATATGTATTATGCCAACCAAAGACAAAAAAAATGACCCATGTTTCCTTTCATATTTCATTATCTAGTACTTAAGAAGTTTTCAATTCCCTATAAATTCCCTATAAATTATGATTAATAGATTATATATAATCCAACTAAATTAAGCTTTTAAATGTAACTAAAGGTAATTATTTGAAAAGTCCTAAAGCACACCCTTAGCATAAGCTATTTTGCTGAAGCTTGACAACATGACCACAACTACAGCAGAAAATGACCTGCCTCCAGCCGAAAGATATGAGAAAATATTTACAGCCAAAAGCAGCAGGTGTCCGACTGTACATGGGCCCATAGCCGTCCTCCGCGATTCCGTCATACACCTCTTCCTCGAATTCCTCATCTTCATTCTGGTAGGATGTGGGACTGTCAGTGGTGGGCAGGCTGGATGCACTGGGGCTGGAGCGTTCGGCGCCAAGCATGGGGTACGGCGGCTGAGCCCCTGGAAAAATGGCGGAGCCTCCACTGCCAGTGTAGTACAGAGAGCCACCCCGCGAGAGCCTGCTGCCAAGGATGTCGGCACTGCCCCGCTTGTGGGCCAAGCTCTGGAGCACCAGCGTCGTGTCGGAGCCCTCCTGTTTGATGCGGCCACGCAGAGGCACAGGCAGGGTGGGTGACCAGCCAGTGGAGGGCGGCATGGCCTGGGTAGCTGGGAGATTGTTGCTGGGGCTCTGGGGCTCCGATCCCGGATCTTCCATGGCGGCCGTCTGGGAGTCACAGTGCGGGGAGTTGGCTTTGAACATGAGGTCCATCCCACGCTCCACAATGTGCTGGATCTGCAGGTAGCCGGCCGTGTACATAACTACGAGCTGCTCGCTGGCTGCCATCGTAAGTTTGCCTGTGTAGCAGAAGGAGAGGATTTGCTGGAAGCAGGCAGGAGCCACGGTGGAGGGAAGCTCAAAAAGGGTTTTAGAGCTGCCGCTGAACAAATCCCGGAAGTAGAGGCTGCTGGCAGCGAGCACAGCCCGGTGAGCTTTAAAGGCTTGGCCCTTGACCACGATAGACACATCGCAGTACTGGCCCAGAAGCCTTTGCTCGTTCAAGCATCCCAGCACCGTGTTGCCAAAGTTGGGAATTTCCACATGCAGCAGCTGGGACATGGTGGCTTGCTCTCACAGCTTCACTAGAAATGGGGCCTGTTGGGACGGCATCTGAATGGACAGAGAGGGAGAGAAAAGGCGTCAGGCAGGAGAAGAACTGAGGAGTTCACTGCAGCTCAGCTTTTGAGAGGGAATAGTAATGGACAACAGCTATGCATAACGTTGTGCATGCTGCCCTGTGGAAGTAAGATCCCATCTTTGTGGATTGAATGCACGTGAATTCCTTAAACTTAACATATGTTGACTGTTTTGAGCATTTTTTATTTGATTTCCTACCGGACGAAAAACGTGGGTCAGCCAACAGTTCTAATTTCCTGTGTTGTAACCAATCTCCCCATCATACTCTAATTCCTTCCTTTTGAAAATGTGTATTTCAACAATAGTCCATTCGCCATATTGGCTGTATTAGACAGAAGTTTATTTTAATCCAATAAATACTGGAAACAGACTCCTACTGTATGGCTATTGAGATTTGCTAACACATCACTGTGAGCATCACTGTGTTTCATTGGTCTTCTGAACCATGTAAATTCATGTTAAACTGCAGGAAGTATAAGTGAAACTAAAGGATATTGTTTGTATCCTCATACTGCCTTGCCTTCACCTTAAACTTTATCTATTTTTTTTTATTTCTACAGTAGCAATCCAGGAATAACATACGGTCGCTACTCTCATCACATGAAGGTGGTTCACCATAAACAGGGAATTTCAACTTGGGAAAAAAAGGCTTGTGGTTAACTATCCTTGCACATGTCTGCAACTGAGAAAAGCCAGACAAACAAACACAAAAGTCTCCCCTTTCTTCTGGACTGTTTTCAACAAGTCCTGCAGCTGGACAGCACAGATCAATGGTGAAAGGGGAGAATGCAAAGTGCATTCAATGCAGCATCTGTAAGTTGCTCAAAAACAGAAAAGCAAGAGAGAGGGAAGGATGGTGCAAAGTACAGCAGTACAGCAATACTGTTACAGAAATGGGAGGGAGTCTGAAAGTCATTTAAGGACAACAAGACTATTGAGGAGAAAACAACTGCAGAGGAAGATTTTACACAGGTAGAAGGCGAGAGCGAAACAGACATTGCATGGGAGATGAAAGACACAGTAGGCTCTGATAGCATGTTATCATTTCCTGTTTGATTAATTTGAATGTCTTTATTCAGCATATCAAGATGGAGAATCAGATGAAGAAGCCTGTGTTTTCACACTGAAATGAATTTTGTAAGGCATTGATTTGGTGCAATCATTTACTCAAATGTACATCCTAAACATAAGAAATTAGTATTTTCTGCCAATAAAATAAATTGTAGAGACTGGAACAGAGCCTTTCATGAACTCCAGACAGAAAAGAGCAATAACTCACTGGCATGGGAGCTATATTACTGGTTTCTCTCCACTGACTTAACACTGACCGTATATATACCCGTTTATCAATGAGGGCCCACAGGAAGAGAGGGAAAGGTAAAATGACATTTGTGTGTCCCTTTGCAAATTAAACCACTAGGTTTTACTGAATTTAAACACAGCTCGTTCTATGTAATGGTAGCCAGAGATTTATGTCTTTTACTACTTTGCACATGAATCCAGTATCTCTCTTGCATCTGCTAGATTGTTTGGGTGTCAATGAAGCTCAGGAAATCTACTATCCCTCCATTTCATAATACCGTGCCCCAAAAGTTGCCCTAAGCCCTTCCTCCAGGACTGCACTTCGGTGACAGTAGACTTAAGCTACATACGTATTCATGGTGGCACCATTATAAAAAGGGTACTGGGACACCCTGACATGATGTCACTCGTTGGTTCCGACTCGCGGTCCGAAAGTCTCCTGTTGTTGTCTCCTTCTTTTTCATTGGCTAAATGCACGTGGCAAAGAATTATTTTGAAGATTTTTTCATTTTCCACTCACAGTATGATGAAATTGTCATCACGTCTGACCCCCCCCTGCACAAAAGTAGTGACAGTACGAGGAGCAGAACGTGTTCATCTGCGTTGAGCAGGCTTGTCTCAAAATGGGCAAAGTAAAATAAAGAAAGAACATTGGCAATACCTCTTTCTGTTTATTGAAAGCTTCGTTCAATTAAAACACTTTGTCTTCCCATATTCAAAATACACAGTAGAGAAACAAATATTCGGTAGTTGAAATGGGGTAATAAGTTAAGCTATTAAACTAAATAATAGCTTTATATCAACACTTGGTACCTAGGATGTATATAAATGTAAAGCAGCCTTAATGAAGTTGTTTGTTTTTACATGAGTTTTAAAACACAGTTAAAAATATAAAACACCTTTAAAACAAATGTTGTAAACAAAGTAGTATTAATGTGTAATATAATCGGCACATTATCTCATAAGTACACATCTGGCTCACTGCCCACCCCTATGACTTGCGACTCGCTATGAGAAAATCAAACCAGTTTGATTTCATCGTAGTGAGTCGTAGAGAGTTGTAGGGGCTATTAAGAGCGCTAGAGTCGCTGGGGGTAAATGAAGGCTACGACTTGAAAATCCTAGCAAAAGTTGCGAAGTGTGACGCCAGCATAAGTCTCCGAGGGACAACTCGATAGTGCTAGTCTGACAGATTCAGCTGTATCATGGAAAGCACATTAACACACTAATTAAATTAACATGAGCTCTTCAGAAGATTCTGTACAGTAGAACTTCAAATTTACTTTGCCTGCCACTTGCTGTTCTAGTCTCATCAAATCGTTTTCTCCTGTGGCTTTAGCATCACCCACACAGGTAATTCTGAAATGCAAAGGTATCACTGTTCCTGAAACAGTGAATTGAAGTGCAGGTGCAAAGACTTCAATGTGATCAACAATTAAACACCTTCCTGTCTGAAATGCATGTCCACATTGTTTCAAATGTCACCTTCAATCTGATTTTCGGATAAAAAATGCTCAAATGC